CTATGCTCCATGCAAAATGGTGTGGATCACAAGGCAGAAGGAAGGAGCAACCTGCGGTTTACAAAGTAAAGCCTTTCTTTTGGTGATGCAATTTGGGGTTGTTATTTTTCTCCTCCTGAGAAGTGGCAATAAGTAGCCACAGCCCTTCCAAACCCCAATGCCAACCTGGCTTGAATTCTCATGAACTCACCTTTTGGAATAAGTCATCGGCCTTCCTGGTCCTACGCAGTTCTGAATCTTCCATGCCTTGGTGTGCCAGATTGAGCCCTGCTCACTCGTCACTAGGTAAACAACAGAGTTATAAGCTTCCACTCGGCTCAGCTGTCATATAAAAGCTTTGTCTGCCAATCACAGGAATCCAAAAGATACATCTTGCAATTAATACTGTATTTATAATTCCACCTAAAGAGAGGCAGTGGGTGGGCCACAGAAGTGCTTCTGTCAGAAATATTGGACGTACATTGTGCTGGGTGACCTAAATTGGTTTTAAGTTTTAATTGTCAGCTCTAGTTGGGGGTGGTTTTAATTATGCTTTCAGTCTTTCCTCTGACACATTGAAAGGTGAGGTAGTAAGTGGCTTGGCTTCTGGCTACTTCTGGGATGGATAATGGGGATAAAGGTGTGTTCACAAGTAGCACAGCTGGCCTAGGCATTTTTTTGCTAGTCAGGATGCTGTCCCCCTGAGCGAGATCTGGGGTGGTGCAAGATTACGAGCCTCACAAAGATCTCTGTAGAATTAGATTTAAATAAACGTGTAGTATAATTAGTGTGTGTGTGCGCACACCACTAACCACTACTGGATAGAATCCAAACTGGGCAGCTGCGTGTCATAGGCTCTGCATTGCTAACAGAGTGTGGAGGGTCTCCTTTCGCTCTTTGGCAGGTGCCTGTCCTTTCAGTGCAGGGTGAAGGCATTGAGTACTAATCCTAGCAATCGCCACCAAGTTCCCAGAAGTCGTACTGCACAGCATAGTGACAGTTCTGACATTCCTAAGCAGCTATGGTTTTGTTGGGACATATGTTTAATGTACCATCAATGATCATGTCAAGTGCCTTGTCTCTATCCAAGGATTGGAGCAGGTGGAATTCAGAGGCCGGTGGTCTTACCAGGGTCACACTGGAATTAATCTATAAGGAGCAGGTAATCTTTGGGAACCACTTTGTAATCAAAAATCTCTCTCTTAGGGACTGATCCTGCCAGGGGCTAAGTGCACTCAACCCCTGTTGACTTCAGTAGGGGTTGAAGCCCTCAGAGTCCCTTAAAGAGTAACAATGGACATATAGCACATCCAGCCTGAGTGTAGCACCCAGTCAGGAATTGACCCTCAGGCATCTCTTACATTCATTCACTCTCTTCCTCCCTTCCTTGCTTTCCTTCACACCTTCTCTGTCTGGAGTGCTGAAAATTTAATCTGTTACCAGCCAGGAGATGAAAGGCATTAACTGAGAGCAATTTAATTGCAGCACAATCAGCTGCAGAGCTTCTGTAAGGAGCCGAGCACCTCTGCACAGCTGTGAATCAGACAGGAGTGTGTAGAGGGAGATACGTCTCCCTGCAGCGATTAAAGGCTCTTCTGGGATACGCTCCTTCACAAACATTCCAGGTGGACAGAGACTCGTCCATGCAGAACCCAGATCCCAAAGGAGGAGGGGATGTGAGCATTGCTGATTATTGGAGTACAGCGCTAGTGAATGAATGTAGACTCAACGCTTGGAGTAGGCATTGGAAGTAATCATTTAAAATTGAGGAAGGATGGTCTGATGGTCTGGGACAGGAGATCTGGATTTGTTCCCTGGATTTGTTCCCTGGATCTCCCTGGACAGGAGATCTGGATTTGTACCAGAGACTGTGTGCAAATCACTTAATCTCTCCATGCTTCAGTTTCCCATCTGTAGGAAGGGGATAACTTTTCCTTTTCTCTCTGGAGTCTGTAAGCTCTTTGAAGCAGCGACTGTCACTTACTAAGTGCATGTACAGTGTCGAGCATAATATGCCCAGTCAGGGCATCTAGATGCTATTTCATTACAAATAACAAATACTAATCCAATATGGTGAATTGCAATACACTGCTATTTGCTGCAGCATCTTTCACAGATGTGTAGTTCCTAGTACAATTCTCACCTCCATTCAGAAAAGATGCAGAGAGAGGAAAGCAGCAGAGACCATGGCACATTCGCCTGTCACTGGGGAACTCCATTGCACGGATGTAACTGAGAAGAGCTACTGGCCCATAAAGTGAACTTTATCTAACAGAGAGGTCTAGACTGACAACTTGCCAGGAGCCTGAGAGCCACATTTAATTTGCAACAGTGTCAAGACATTGTAGTGACTGGTGCTATATATACCTACCTTAGACAGACAGATAGAAAGCAGGTGATTGCAGCTGTCCAGAGACGTGGTCCACAGAACCTGCACGTTCCAGCATGCAGTGCAGTCTGGCTATTGCTCAAGATGGAGCATTGCATGGTGGGACCTGTAGTCTCTGCAAGCTGCAACTCTGCATTGAAAATTAGTATGGCCAGAGGGCTACTTTGGGTAACTCCATGAGCAGCATTAGACCATGTGTTGGCCACCCCACTTATAACCACTTGCCCACCCAGGCATGACAACATTACACCACAATGGTCTGAAAGCATGCAGGTCCACATGAATATGAACAGAATGTCTGCTCCTCTTTCTAGGATGCCACTGCTACTGGCTCTAAATCTTGTCTTTAGTTGGGCTCAGCATATGAGGTTAACAGAGTCTGAAGGATTAATTTTTGTCAGCCTTCTGAGATTGCTACAGTACCTGCCATAACTGCTAAGAGCTGGGTCTGCCTATTCAGTGACATATTGCTGACAGGCTCTACACAAGTTTGGAAATTTGCCTCTGTTCCCTTCAACTAGTTACCATAAATCAGAACGCTGCCAGCTTCATTAACCTAAATGCACATCTAATGCTAGTGTCACATCTAATACTCGTAAACTCTGAATTCAGAGCCTAGCTAATTGCATTGGCTAAATTAATCCTTGATAATAAAGTGTCACCACCGCTGAGCACCAATAGTCACTACGGGCGAGGGCACCTTATAGCTAGCCATTGGGGGCACAGGAGTGAGCCAGAAAATCCCATTGCAACAACCTGTGCTGCAATAGGCCAAATGCCATTCTGGCATAACTCTACTCGAGTCTGTGGAGTTTCACCAGGAATGGATTTGGAATTCGTTATTATCTGGGTTACAGTAGCGCCCAGAGGCCTGAATCGAGTTTGGGGCCCCGTTGTGCTAGGTGTTATACATACACAGAGTAAGCAACATCCCCTGCCCCAAAGGGCTTACGGTCCGAACAGGCAAGAAGACAAAGGTGGGAGGAGAAACAGAGGCACACAGAGAGGGAGCGACTTGCCCAAGTTCACACAGCAGGTGAATGGCAGAGCTTGAAATAGAAGAACCCTAGTCTGGTGCCCAATCCACAAGACCATGCTACATGAAATAAATGATATGTGAAATGAAGCCCATGAGAAGGACTGGCACAGTCATGCCAGTGTGTGTGTGGTGGTGGGGTGGGGGATGGTATCCATTTGACTTACTCAGCTCAGCTCCATAGCTGATTCTGCACCCAGCTATCTCCCCACTACCCTCACAAACAAGCCAGAGCACAAGGAGAAGAGTACATTGAGCTTACACTCCAGCTGGGATCTGGCTAAACAATTGTACTTCTGGCCAACAGGGGAGGGAAAGAAAGACCAGCTGGTCCATCTTCACTTGCAGTTCTCAGGTAGATTTTCCACTCCCCTGCTCTGGACCATGGCTTTAGGCATCTGCTGAGGGAAAGTTATGTGTACTTTACAGAGAGTTTTCTGGAGTTATTCTTGATTGTGCTGCGAGATTTTGCTGCTGGGATGGCAAGAACAGTCATCATAAAGTTTTCATCAGCCCAGACATTTCTGGTAGAGTCACAGTTTTCTGGGCTAAATTCAGGGGGAGGGGACTCAGCAATTGATTATTTCCCTCATTACAAATTCAGATTGAACCAACTGTCCTCAGAAAAGGGGGAAAGACCAGGCAATGGTAGAGGTAAATCCATAATAATTCGTACTTCATTCCAAACCACAGGCAGGGGTCACCTTACCCACCACTTAAATGTAACTACTCCTGGGATGAAACATTGCATCTGCTTAACTATGCACAGCAGGTTAAGATAGGAAATGAAAAATATCCCACCTGAATGACACTGCAGGGGAACGTTTAAGGAGACAGAAGGTAGTGACCCCAAACTGAATTTGGCCAGGACACCAGGATTAGCACCCCTCTTCTTGGTTAGGACCTTGGTTTTATATCTCGTTAGCTCAGGGACCTTGCCAAAGGCTTTCTGAAAGTCCAAGTGCTCTGTATCCATTGGTTCACCCTTGTCCACATGCTTGTTGACCCCCTCAAAGAATGCCAATAGATTGGTGAGGCATGATTTCCCTTTCGTCTGTGTGTCTGGCCACTCTGTTCCTTAGGCTGGCCCGTCATTCTCAGAATCCTCGGGAGGCTTTTTAAAAATCCTGTTACATTAGCTACCCTCCAGTCCTTTGGTACAGAGGCTGATTTAAGCCATAGGTTACACACCACAGCTAGTAGCAGGAGCCTTCCGGAGAATTTTCCAGACCCGCTGAACACTGGCCTTTCTTGGAGGGGAGCATCGCGCTGGGCCCCCAGCCCCAGAACCAGGTGCAGCCTACGGAGGAGGAAGCGAAGCAGCCAGGTTATTCCCCAGGTTGTGCAGGGCTGTGGTTACACAAGGCAGCCTCCGGCTCGCTCCCATCCCATCGCCCTGGTTCCTGCCTCCGAGACTGGGGGGCGGCTGCGGGGCAGAGGCAGGAGCAGCGGGTCCCCCGGAGCTGGCCGGGGGTCCGAGCAGGGGCTGGGGGGCGGGGGGCTGGGAGGCGCCCGTCCCCCCTGCCCGGGCGGGGTGGGCCGGTTGCTGATGACGCGCAGACCGGGCTGGGATCTGGGGGGGGGACGGACGGGGGGAGCCTTTTCCCATGAATGGAGCTGGCGGCCGGGGCACGTTCCCCCGCTGCAGCAGCGGCTCGCGGCGCGTAGCAGCCCCATGGAGCTCAGCCCCTCCGCTCTTCCCTCCCCGCAGCCCGGCCGCCGCCCCGCCGCCCTGCCCCGGGAGCCGGAGCGAAGGAGCCAGCCCTGAGCGGCGGAGCAGCGAGACGTCCCCCTCCCGCCCCGGGCGGAGCGATGGATCGTGGAGCCGCAGCGCCGGGGAACTGTCCGCGGTCCTGAGATGCCCGCGCCGGGTCCCTGTCTGCGGGAAGAGGCGCTGGGCTCCCCCTGCCTCCCCTGAACCGGTGCGGCAGGGTCTTCCCCCCCTGCGCTGGAGCCCGGGCCTGAGCCGTCGGCACAGGGATGCAGGATGCACCCTCTCTGGAGGATGGATCACTTTTTCATCTACATCAACGCAGCCCTGTTGTTTTATTTTAGCTATACCAGTCTGTTCCTCGTGGAGGCAGGTAAGGAGCAGACAATACCTGGCGGGGAGCCTTGTTGGCTAGCAGGGCTCATCAGAGTCTCCTGCTTCTATCTGTGCATGCTGGAAATTGCAAAGCTCGCCCCGCTTCCCCTGCCCTTTGTAAAGCTCTTCCCCCCCTAGCAGGTGTCATTTCCCGGCAGAGAAATGCTCATACACTTCCAGTCGGTGCTGGGCTCTCCAGGGTCCTCCTGAGCGTTAACACATTTGAGAGACGCTGTTCTTGTGCCGTGACTCAGTGTCCCCGTAATGGGAGTTGGGGAGAGGTCCAGGTCACTGAAGTGTAACTTCACTGCTTTGCACACAGGGCACAGCCAATCTGGGAACTCCTGGCCTTCTCCTGGCAACCTGGACAGAGAAAGAGGGCCCTGGCATGTGTGTGGAGGGAAGAGGGTTGGGGCTGGAGGGGAGGGGATGTTGAGTAGACTCACTGAAAAGATGATTTAATAATAACACAGGAGAAAATGAAGCCGTGTCCAGAGTCTGCAGGGTGTGTGTGTGTGTCCTGTGTGCCTGGGCAGGAGGTAGGCTGTGTGATCTACTCTGAGCACTAGAGATCAAGGACTATATCTGTTTAAATGGGAAACAGTTTTCATTTATCACTGACTCCTCCCCACCCCATCCAGGTAAAGGCTGAGGGCTTGTGATTGTAGAGGCCCAACTTGTGATACTGTAAAGGAGCCTCATTTTTAGTCAAGTGCTGAGCACCTGCCTTCTGAAAATCAGGGCCCCTTAAAGTGTCTCAAGTTGGGCACCCAAAGTCACTAGTCTCTTGAAAATGTAGGTCAGAGTAACAACCATGTGGCATGAAGGTAGCAGTCACAAGAGAAGTGCATAAAGTCTGACCCATTCTTTGGACACTGACTGGTGAGGACACCGCCATGGAGGAGTGTTAGCTCCCTAATAAAGGCGCCTTCTCCAATTAACAGCCGAAACCACAACAGAAAATGTAAAACCAGGTCCACCTTGTTCATGTCATGCTCTGTTAACTGTAGCTCCTTCCCCTTCCCCTTTCCCTCTATACATACCAGCCTATTCAAGGAGTCATAAAGACACCTTGGCTCCTGAAGGCCATATGGATTTTAAGAGAATGAGAATAGCTGTTTTGGAAGAGCATGTTGCCTACTTGCTGCGGTACATTATGCCTTGACCACATAATAACCGGGCCGCTTTTATCTGAGGTGCTTTTAGCAGCTGTTTCCTTTGGGATGTTGAGGAAGAAGCTTTCTGAAAGGAAGAGGGCACCACATAATTAGTTCTAATTTTAAAAGGGCCGATGTGTCCTCAGATATACTCTCCTTCTCTGCAGAGCTTTCACTGTGTTCTCACCCCATAAACAGGCCTATAGGTATCATTTTGCTCTGGACCCTCATATGTACTGCCCACACACCACACAGTTACATTTTAAAAGAATCATTACAAGTCCAGACAAATCAAAGGACTCAGTTTACTCATACAAAAGACTGTTGCACTCACTCATTACACTGCAGGTAATGTGGCTTTAAGATGTTGGCAAAACAGCTGCCTTGATTTACAAAATGCTGATTGCAAGAATATCTTGCTCTCCAGTATTCTGTACACATTTATTGGTGATGCCCAGTTCCAGGCAGTGAAAATTCCTCTGTCCAATCCAGACTGGTTAGTGGCTGTAGTTCTGAGAGTCCTTGTCCTATTTGTGCTGTGACAGAAGTGACCTAAAAAATGTGCCTTTGGTTTTGATACAATTGTCCTTAGCCATTGTTCATGTTGCCAGAAGACACTGAAATCCTGAAGTTACCACTTTGCAAATTAGAGGCTAGGAGACCTGGTGGGATTTATTAAAAATATTCCTAAAAGAATGAAACCATGGGGAAAATACGCACAGTACAATTTGCAATTGAAATATCCTTCCCAGTTTCCTGTAAACTAGGACAATCTCCACTCCTTCTTCTTATCCTTTAGTCATCCAACTGGGAACACACAAGGGGTTTTGTCCTGTCGTAATTTTTTTTGGCTTGTTTCTTTTAACTGTGTCTGGTTTTGTCATTGTTTTGTGTATTGTAAAATGCCTATGAGTCTTTGGCAGAGGGGGTAGGTATATGAAGATAGCAGCATGATCTCGTGGTTAAAGCACAGACCCAGAAAGCAGGAGATCTGGGTTCTATTTCCAGCTTTCTGACCTTGAGCATGTAACTTCACCTCTGTGTCTTCTATTGATATGGCCCCTGTCCTCACAGTATCTGAGCCCTTCCCAAACATTACTGGGTTTGTTCTCACACCATCCTCATTTTACAGAAAGGGAGCCGAGGCCACAAATAGATTAGGAGATTTACCCAAGGTCACACAGAGAGTCTGTGGCAGCTCAGAATTGAACCTCGGTGTCCCAAGGCATAAGCACAAGACCATCCTTCCTCCCCAGCCTTGGCTTCTCCATCTGTAAAATGGAGATGATATTTCCTTGCCTCACAGGAGAGTCCTTAAGATAAACCTATTAGTGTCTGCAAAGTGCTTTGAGATCCTCAGATGAAAGGTGTGAGAGAAAGGTAGAGTGTTAATATATTTATTAATGGGTTAGGAGTTTACTCAGTCAAGTGAGCCTATGGATTCTAATACTCCTCAGAAAATACATCCCCTTTGAAATTCTATGTGTTTTTCAGCAAAGAGAAAGAGGTGGGTGTGCATGCCTGTGTGAAAAAAGAAAGACTTTTATTAAATTACAGGGATTTTGTTTCTCTGAATTAGTATAAATACCTCACTCCCTTACAAGGGCAGGACCTGGTTGGCACAATCCTTTTGGGAATGGCTTCATGGCAATGCCAATGCCAGGCCCTGCCAATGGATGTAGACACAAAAACAATCTGTCCTTGGGTTCCAGGTTCATGCAGACAATTTAAAAATACTCTTTCTTGGAAAAGGACTGGAGAATAGTATTGCAAACATCCCCTGCAATTCAGCAATCAAGAGTAGTGTGGCATGGCCTGGAGCAGGAGCCCTGTCATGCACACACAGGTGTGTCTGTGTCGGGGATTCTTTGCATGTGGCATTCTGCAAATCAGGTCTATTTCGTTGCATGATCAGAAAGCTACAGCAAGAGGAGAAATGCAGAGGTGATTGGAAATATTGAAAGGGAAAGGTAGATGTGTAAAATAGTCTCTGAACTGTAATGCTGTTGGACAGCTGTCAGGTTCAGACCAGTAATTGCATTAGCAAAGCCCTCCAACTAATTTCTATAGCTGTCTACACAGGGGGATCACTGAGAAAATATTTAAGTCATTTAGTGGGTCTGAAATATGCTTTAGCTTTATAACAGCACTCCACTTGGAGCCTGAATGGCCCACTCTGCCTGGACTGTTAGTCCCTGAGCTGCCATCGGCCCGTTCCTCATCACTCAGAGGTAATGAAAGAGGGAAGTGAGCTGTGCAGAACATGGAGTTACAGGGCTGCCATTATGGACTGCCGGAGCAGCAGGGGGATGCTATGATAAAAGACTTCAAAATAGGCCAAGGCCATTGCAACTTCCCAGTGCAAACAGCTCTCCTGCCATCTGCTATACACAGTGCATTTCAAGTCTGTTTTATCCCTAAAAGGCAGAGGGGAAAGATACACTTCCCAGGGGGCTATGCAGAGCCATCCTGCAGTGCAACTAAGGGCCTGCTGCTACTGAAGTCAATAGCAAAGCTTTCATTGACTTCAGTGGGAGCTGGACAGGGCCCCAAGTCCTGTAAATTCAGGGAGTCAGGCTCTCTTTGCCACCCACTTCCCCGACAAAGAACATCTGGCTGGATTCTGGGCACTGTTCCTGCTTCAAGGCAGCTCAGTGCTCTCAACATCCCCAGACACCTATAGTGCCCTTTAGCTATTCCTAAAAGCTTTTCTTAGTCTGCCCTCAGCTTCTCCCATGCAGCTCCACTGACTACAAGGGGGCAGAAGAGCTGCAACTGAGGGCAGGTGTGGATCTTGGTAACTGGCCCTGATCCTGTGAGGCGCTGCGCACTCTGAACTCCCGCTGAAACCAATGGGAGCCGAGGGCACTCAGCACCTTGCAGGGTCAGGCCCATTATCAGAACCTGAAGTGAGTAGTGCAAGGAGGAAAGCACTAGAAACCAGTTGGCAGTCTGACACGTCAGATTACAGATGGCAAAGCGACCCACCTGCGTCTGCCCCCATCTCACTGCTGCCTTGGCATTTCCTGGCCAGCTGATGGATTCCATAAGCACTCTATTGATTTCTACATTTGGCATGAATGAGATTTAATTGAAGTGCAGAGATTTCTAACCCCAGTGACAGCCTCTAAACAGGGAACATATTATCTGAAGCAGCCAAGGTTTTCATATGTTCCAAGCACCACCTCTTTCTGAGAACATACATGCGACAAATGGGGATTCATTCCACAGACAGACAGGCTCCGTTCACACCCATATGAACCCCTCTTCCTCACACACACACTCATGATAATATTCACTGCTTGCGTAAGCAGCCTTCAGTGGAGTTGCACCCACTTCAGTGCTGAATTTGACCCAATACTTTTACTACTGGTTGTCAAGTAAAAACCTCCTACTTCATGAAGTACCTAGAAGCCAAATTAATGCCTGACACAAGAATAATTCAGTTAAAAGAATAAAGTTACTGAGAACTGAAGCATGCAAATTTTATATGCTTAGTGAAGCCCTGAGTGCCTGATAGAGGAATAAACCGGTTTCAGATCTATAAAGAAAAGATCCCTATCGTGCATCAGATACTGACATCAAGTGGCTGCAGAATAACCATTCATTACTCTATATAGGTACGAGGCGGGAGGGTCCCAGAGCTTGGGCTCCAGCTGAACCCTGAATGTCTACACCACAATTTTATAGCCCTGCAGCCCAAGTCCCGTGAGCCCAACTCATCCCACATGGACCAGCCATGGGGGTTTAATTGCAGTATAGGCATACTGTGTGGTCTTGGGCTAGTCATTTAATCTGCCTGTGTCTTTATTTCTCCACCTGTCAAACCACAATCGTAAGT